TGTTATACAGTAACCTTGATACCCCATAGACAAATTTCACTTGAATATACAGAAAAGGCAAGCCAAGAAATAGCCAGAGTGTTTTTCTTTTCCCAGTGTTTTGAAGTGCCACAGCTACTGTAAAATGAATCCCATATGATGTGGGACTGCTGAGAACTGTGCTCGTGTGTGTGTGTGTGTGTGTGTGTGTGTGTGTGTGTGTGTGTGTGTGTGTTGTCTCTTGTCGACTCTTTGTCTACCTGAGTCTTGTGTTCAGGGCAGTTGCACTGATATTTTAATACATGAGGATTGTCATGTTAGGTACCCTTTATGTAGACATACTGCATTAAAGTTTCCTTTTATTTTGTAGATTTCTTAAGAGAATGACAGTCAGAACTCACTATGGTGTCTAAAACATTTCATAATTGTTAACAAATTTAATGAAACTTAGTCTTCAGAAAATAGAAAATAGATTTGAAATAAATCTGCTAAAATATTTTAATTAAGAATGTTTTCTTCTCTCAACCTCATATTATTGTTTATTAACAAGAGAATTGATTGTGCCTTGGTTCCTTTTCAAAGGAATTTGACATGGTTTAAAAAAAAGAAGAAGAAGAAAGAAAGAAACAAAAAAACACCTGGGTTATAGTAATTGTTGCATCTCAGTTCTGGGACTTTCTAGAAAGGAACAGAACAAGGGATGTGTCTAGTGAAGGGATCATACAACTATGGAGACATCCCTTTTCTTCTTTTACAAATGGAGTATTAGATAAGGTAATAATCTTTGATTTTGGAAAGGTTAGAAAATGTTTTTCAGGTGGAAATTTCCTGTGTTGACCAACCATAGCAGCTGTGATATTTAGCTTAGGAAATCTTAGCACGTGTTTTTATTTTTGTTTGTTTGTTTGTTTTTTCAGGATAGTGCTGTGACACGAGTGGGAAATACCGGATCATAAGAATTGGGTCAGATTAAAGCCATTAGATTCACCTAAACGGTCTTGGCTGCTTCAAGGACAAAAGCCAGCCCTGGGGAGGGAGGGAAGTAGGAAAGGAAAAGGGACATGTGTGATTATGAGTGATAAAGCACTTGTGGAGAAATGGTAAGGGCAGACAGCAGGTGAATTAGGTAAAGGATATTGAACACTTTGGTACTGTTTCTAACTTGTGTAATTTACCTCTAGGTTTCCAGTTCAGATTTTACTAATAAAAAAAAAATGATGCAGGAAGACATGGTGGCACGTGCTTGTAATTCCAGCACTTGAGAGGTTGAGGCAGGATTTCGAGTTTGAGACAAGTCTAGGCTATATAGGCAAACCTGAAATAAGTATTAAGACTCTCTCTCTTTCCCCCTATTCTCACCTCCCCCTCCTCATACACACACACACACACACACACAGAGAGAGAGAGAGAGAGAGAGAGAGAGAGAGAGAGAGAGAGAGAGAGAGAAATTGAGGTAACATACATGATTTACTTAGGTGCATTTGTGTGAACCAACAAAGTAATAGAACACTAGAGAGTTTGTTCTACAAGCATACCCTCTAGGTAATTTCTTTCAAATATTAGATACTCAGAACTTTTTTAGAATCCTGAGTCTAGTGAATTCATGGTTGAATTGTCTATTGAGTATTTAAAGGACTAATCCCCTGTTGTTTGGAGAGCTGCGTATGTTTAGATAACAATATAAGACAGGTGGTATGGACCTGTTGTAAAAATGTTAAAGCTTGATTTGTTCGTGTAATTTATATTCTTATGAAGATAGATCAGAGAGGTCCTTAAAGTTACTCACATGTTTTTTCTCAAGAGAACTTTAAAACAATAGAGGCAGTTGGAAAGGTGCTAAACTGACTGTAGTCCCAATGCACAGAAGTTACAGAGAAGCTAATTCAGCCTGAATTGTTTCAAAGATATATTTTAGTAATTGGCTGCTCTCTATGATAAAGGAATCTGACTTCTTACCCGTTTAGAAAATGTAATTTTGAACAGAATTGCATATATAGTCTTTCTGGAATAAATAAGCTGCAAAATGCAGAATAACTAATTCTTTAAGTTAGTAAGAACCCTTTCAACATTTAAAAGAAAAAAAATTTAAAATAAGTTAAGCTATATGGGGAAGTGAAGAAATCAGCTGCTTCCGAGTAAATCCCTGCGTGGGAAGTTAGTGTGTGCAAGTGTGGGCTTGTGTGTGGTGGCCAGAGGTGTACCTCAGGTGTCAGTGGCTCTCTCTTCATATTTCACACAAGGTCTCACTTTACTTTGAGCTTGTTGTTTTGCTAGACTGTCTGGGCTCCTTCTGTCTGCTTCCTTGTCCCTGAGGTTGCAGGCCAAGAGATATAGCTTTTTTTCTTTTTCTTCAGCTTGAATTCAGACCCTCATGTTTGTATGGCAAGTAGTACTTCATTGTCTGGGTCATCTCCCTAGCCCCCCCCACCCCCTTGGTGGGAAGTTTTTAAATCCAAGATACATTTTCCTTTAAATTGTATATGACAGGTCCCCATACTTCCATTGTTAAAGGACTGTCATGCCTACAGTTCCAAAAGAAGTTCATGAAAATTTGAGAAAACTTTATAGTAAATTGGCAGTATCTTGAAAGTCCACAAGATGAGGATACTCTTCCTAGTTTTGGTCTGTAACTTAGTCTGAAGTAACCTCAAAAAGAGTTCTGTGTCAGAGTATCTTCTACTTGCCCAAGAGCTGAACATTGACATTTTAGGATTTTTGTACTCTTTTTTTTTTTAAGTAACCATTGCTGTGAACACACATAGGATTACATACATAGGATTATGCACATACATAGGATTACTATTAAATCTACTGAATTTTTAGAAGGTAACTACTTAATGCCTTTTGATATGATCTGTGCGATGGAAATTACATCTCTATAGTCGAAAGACTAGTATATGCCTTTACAAATTTCCCCCAAATCTGTAGCTTGAAATTATCCACAGTAAAAATAAAAATATTTACTGTACAGAGATCGGCAGGTGCCATAAATCAGGGCTTGATTACTTATTGATTGGCTAGCCTTACAGTGATGAAAATACTACTAATGTAAATGTGTCATGTCTTTAGCTACTATAGTGTGAAGAGCTTAAAAGATGAAGATACCCTCTTCCATTAGTCAAAGCTGTTATCCACTTGAGCAAAGGAGTCACTTACTGTGGACATCATTGATATAAACAACAACACCCTAATATACACTTGTTGGGCTTGTTGGTAATTTATGAGCACACTGCTTGTTATGGCCCAATTGAATTTAGCATTTGGGTAGGAAATAGACAATATAAGTTTATTATGTTGCTATTCTGATTTTAAAAACAGTATTTATGATATATGATCATTAAGGAAAGGGGATTGCTTTGGGAACCGTTATAGAATACAATTTTAAAGTATATGATTTTGTAGGGTTTAATAGTTTAGTTACAGATTAAAGATAGTATATAGAAAGATGCTTAAATGTTTGTTATAAATAGAATTGCTTTCTCTAGTGTATGTTAGTTTCTAGATGTATTTAGTTTTTATTGGAAACATGGTTGTTACCTGATAATAGCATTGAAAAAATCTGGAAGTACAGAGTTTTGTTTTGCATTGCTTTGGTTTTTTCTTACATTGAGTTAAAACTGTTGCTTCCTTTAATTTTTGTCAGTTGGTTCTGGAGAAACATAGACACACAGAAATGTGGAAGAAAAATGTCTCTTCTGTAGAATAGCTGTTCCCCAGGTATAACATTAGATGTGATGCTTCATTTAAACCCCTTTGGGCAAGAAATATCCTTCAGTTAGTTGTTCTAATCACACACAGTATGGCATTTTCCCCCTCCATGCTAAGAGTGTGTGGCTTTTTAAAAATTCATATTTGCTTGACCTTGGGGCTGAAATAGAAACCTTCAGATACTTCTTTGGGTAGATTTTACAAAAATAAATCTTCTGTTAGGTTTTGTTTGTTTTTGTTTTTCCCCAGATAATTGTGTTTATTGTCTGCTGCCTTCATGTTGCCATTAGAATTTCACTTTAGATTCCAGAAATGATGAGTTGTAATTTTACCATTTTTGGTCTTTATTAATCCCATCAGTTTATGTCAGTTGGACATTTCTTTGGTGCTTTTTTGCTTATTGTGTATATCTGATTGTGATATAAAACATGCTAAATTTGAAAGGCTGTGGGGATGTAAGTCCATACTGCTCTCTTGGTACCCCTCCTTTTACCTTCACTTCTGCTCATTGTTTCCGTTCCTTGATCCACATCTGCCAGTGTCTACCAGAAGGTGCAGACCTTTCTGAAATCTGACTTACTATTAAAATCATATTCTTAGGCCACCAAAATGGTTTAGAGGGTAAAGGTGCTTTTTTGTCCCCATAATCCACATCATGGAAGGAAAGAACCAACTCTTACCTCCACATGTACTGTGTGACGTTCATGTGTGTGCACACAGATATACACACAAATAAATTAATACATTTTTTTAAAAATCATTTTCTTTTACAAACAGAATAATAGAAAATTGTTTGTTAAGCTAGCTATTAAAAGTTCAAAGTAGCAAAGTATGTTTAGCTAGGTGACTCAGCAAGTAAAGGTACCAGCAGCCAAGCTTAGCAATCTCAGGTCTGAGTTCCAGTCCCAGTAGTCACATGATGGATGCAAGGAGAGAACCAATTCCTGTCCAAATGACCTCTGATCTCCAGATGGCACAGTGGCTTATATGCATAAGCACACAGAAACGTGTATGTAAACACACACACACATACTTAACTAAATAAATACTAAAACATTTCATAGAAGAAGAGAGGGTCAGATGTATCTCTCTCATGAGTTTTGGGCATTTACTCTCCTTATTGACATGCCTGAATGGATTAAGTATTTTATGTCAGGTTTTTTTAAGTCAATGATTGCTGACTTAAAAACAAACAAACAAACAAGCAAAAAAACAGATTAATTAAAATACTTAAAAGAGTAGATTAGTAGGCCCTCTACCACTCTTTGAATTTTTCTTTGTTTTTTATTATTAACTCTTTCATTTTCTTTCAGATTTAATTGGTGCCATGCAGCAAGAAGCAGAGAGATGTAGAGTTCGAACCAAAAGGCCTGACATGGCACTTTATGTACCTAAAGCTCGAAGGGGTACAACTCTCCTCAAGTCAGGTGACCAGGAGGAAAGCCATGGGCCTCCTGCCTTTGTGCCAAAAGAACAAAAAGAAGGCTGTGTGCCCCAGAAGATCTCTGCAAGTAAACTCGAGTCCCAAAGACTAAGTGCAGGTCATTCTGATAGAAAGGATATTGACTGTAGGGAAGAAAAGAGATCTTCATCAAAATTAAGGAAAGACAGGTGTTTACAAAAAAGGAATAAAGAGAAGGCTTGTTCAAAGAGAGGAAGTGAAGAATCCATAGAAGCCTCATCCCAAGAACATCAACACAGAGCTCTCGATGCTGGGATTGTATCTAGTGTTCCTTTACGAAGACTTTCTAAACCAAAGGAGATGGAGTGTTTGGAAGTTCAGACTGCAAGAGTAACAGGACACTGGGGGTCATCTCCATCGCAGTCTTCTTCAGAAGTCAGTGCTGCTCAGGTTCCAAACAGACCATTCCAGAATGTGGAACTCTGTGACTTCAGTGGGGAAACTTTTGTAAATAGAGATTTGGAAAGCAGCATTGTAAGTGAGGCCAACATTATGGAGCTAGTCTCCCAATTTCCTCAAGTCGTTAGCACTGTGCTGAAACCAGACGGTATGGCTATGCCAGTAACACTAAGTTCTGATTCTGAAACTGCACCAGACAGTATGGAAACATCAGGTGGAGTGTCAAAGCACAGTCCTGGGAACATCTCTGTAGTTTCTGTTCCTGGAGGTCCAGACTATGATGTTGATTCAACTTTTGTAGACTTTGAAGCTGAGAGTGAGGGTACAGTCAACAGTACAGAGTCTGTCTTGGGTCAAAAAGGTGTAGACTCCATGCCTGAGAATATGGGTAACGTTTCTCTTAAAATGGTGATAGTCAGCAAATTAGAGAGCACAAATGGCATTATTGATCCAGCAGTGACTAGAGAGTGTGAGAGTGACAGCTCTGTTGATGAGTTATGTGTAAAGTCTCAACCTTCTGATACAGCGGTCCTTGTTCATGAAATAGACACAGATAATGGATTTAGGAATGTATGTGACAGTACCAGCAAGGCATGTGTGGTGGACATTGCAGGTACAGTTTGTGACCCTGTAACTGTAGGCTGCCCTTGTACAGTTGCAGTTGTACAATCTGGTGAGAGTAGTGGCAACACGAGAAATTTCTCAGATTATATAGAAATCAGTGCAGATGTAGCCCCGCATGATACAGCTAAGAGTGAGAACAACTCTGAAAACCTCAGCAGCCTGAGTGCTAGCTCGGATATTTATGCTGAGAGTATTGCATCTGGTTTTACAGAGTCAACAGGAAAGTTGATAGAAAGTGTGTCAGATTGTGCTTCCTCGTTACCCATAAAGAAGACTGCTGATAGTAATTTTACCACTTGTCTGGACTCTGAACTGAGTATGTCAAATGCATCAGGCGTACTTTTGGAGAGTGCCTTGGGTGGTGATCTAGATACTACGGAGGAGATGACAGAGGCCTTATGTGACCTAAGAACTGCTGAAGAGTTTAAAACAAAAGAGGAAGATGACTCAGAGAGCATAGTGTGTGGCGTATCATTTTCTGATTCATCTGTGGAAACATCTGTAGATCTAAAAACAACAGACACTTCTCACATACAAGGAAGTATTGCTGTGGAGGAAAGCTGGGAATCTATGTTTAATGATGATGGTGATTGTGTAGATCCGCGTCTTCTACAAGAGGTATGCTCACTTGAAAGTACTTGATATTTAGACCATTTATAAATTAGTCTAGATTTGAAAGTATTTCTGATAGACATTGTATATACTCATTCATTTTTCTCACATTAAATTTAAGAGTTCTTACAGTGGTAATAGCCTGATAGGATTATACATTGAGAAAAGACTGATAGATATGGAAAAGTTAAAATATATATAATCCTACTGTATCTGTAATTGCTAAGTCCTAAGAGGTATTACATTGAATAGATTAAATATGAAATTAATGGATTCTGGCCGCTCATTGAGGAAATATAGACCACGAACCTAAAAATATTTTCTGTGTTGACAACATGTATTTTTACGTTAGCCATTTGGGGGAAGGAAGTAATTTATAACTTAGTTGTTTGTTCTTATTTTTTAGTGAATTTTGGAATATTATTGGAAGCTGTAGCAGGAAGTAGAGAAGGAGATGAATGAATATGGCTATTTTTTATGGAGTTGATACTGACTTAAGTTGAATAAATGACTGTTGAGTATGTGTAAGGAACTTTAAGTGAGTAACGATGTGCTGACTAGTCAGAGTTCATAAATACAGAATGTGTGACTTGAAGGCATTGGACAAAGTTTATATTTTAACATCTATTCTCTGCCATTTAAATTCTTTATTACAAATTAGGACCATTGTTTTTAAATAGAGAACCACTTTCTCTTTCATTTCTTATTGTGGGTTCACACGACCTTGGTCTGGAATGGAGAAATGGTTTGTTTATGATCCCCAGGTGGTTATCCCTTAGGAGAGACATCAGGATTTCAGTCCTGTTCTGTCATTGACAGTTGAAGCTATTATTTACATTATGTTCTTCCTAACAGACAATGTCTTCACCTGAAAGGTTTTATTTGAGTCATTTTTAAATGATAAGGATGAGTTTCCTGTTATTAAGAATTAAACAAGGTATATAGAAAAATACCACATAGCTGTGAAAGAGACTCCAAGACTGAAGAGGAGAGCATATTGGACAGAACTGACTTTCCACTATGAAGCACTCCTTCATTCCTAGGTGCTTACACAGTTTCACTAGTACTGTAGTGAGTGCTTCCTAATACCAAGTCAGGAAGCATCTTACACATTCCTTAGAATGAAATACAGAGGGAGAGTGGGAGAGTAGTTGTGAGTGAACACCCATGATCCTTTTGAATTTATATCAGAATTTTGTGTGTGTAGCCTAGCCTTCCTTAGTCAAATTCACAAAGGCAGTAAGTAAGTGGTTCCTAGAGTATGGTGTTTGGGCGAGCAGGGTAAGCATCATCTGAGAACCTCTTAGAACTGCATACTCTGTAGCCTAGCAACTTATCTGTTAACTTTTTCAAGTGACTCAGAAACATGTAAAGTTTTATACTATTTGCCTAGAGGTCTGCACACCTTAAATGTCAGTCAGAATGTGACTGGGGAACTACTTTAATGGTAGTTATAAAATCCTTATCAAGCAGGAGTTTGAGATCCATCTCCGGTTAGGAAATACTAATGACAGAGAGTTAGATGAATGGAGACAACTTACTACAGTTCAGATCATTGGGAAAGGGTCTTAGTCTGAGAAGGAAACTGTTAACTAGAGCTGATAAAAGGCTGACTTGAGACTGGGAGAGAAAAGGTAACTCCTTGCAAAAGGCAGCTGTGCACATGGTTAGTAACTGTGGAAGGATGGGAATGATCAGTTAGAGTATGAGTGTTGTCCTTTTTAGATTGGCCTCTACCAACTTTGAAAACATGGTCAGTACTCAGATTCTTGGGAATTTCAGTTTTATTTGTATTTTGGAAGAGGGGATCCATGCATGCAATTGGATCTTTCACATCTAGGTACAAAAGAATTTAGACAACAACTAAGTGTTTTGAGAAGTGTGGTCACATACTCAGAAACTACTGGCTGAGTAAATACTGGGGATGCCAAGAAAATGGAATATGTTGTGCTTTAACCTGAAGACAGCTAGTGCTTGCATGTCTTTAGCAGTACTTAAGGTTGAAGATGGATGAAAATAGAACGAATCTGATAGGCTGTGGGTACAGTAGACTCAACTCTCTTCTGGTTTTTTGAAGGATGCCACAAATCTAATATCTTAGTTTATTATTTATATTACTCAAACATACTTTATTAAATGCAGAACTAGAGTGCTTATCTATCTTGAAAGTTTTCCAACAGAAGGCTTTGGCTTCTTTCCCAGTTGGCCTATTTATTTGTTGATAAAGACGAAACAGAAGCGCATCTAATGTTTCTAATAGGCAAGAAGAAGATCTGCTGTAAAGTGGAGTATGCAAGCTTTGATTGATAAATGACATTTGAACCTCTAAAACTGGTCAGAGGAAACTAGAACATAGTTATGTTGTGAGTGAGCTCCAGAACTGCAACCCTTAATGCATTGTCAAAGATCACATTTCGTATTCTATTTTATTTTTTATTTTACTTTGTTTGTTTTTCAAGACAGGGTTTCGCTCTGTAGCCCTGGCTATTCTGGAATTCATCCTATAGACCCGGATGGCCTAAGACTTAGAGATCTGCCTGCCTCTGCCTCCCAAGTGCTTTAATTAAAGGTGTGTGCCACCACCGCTTGGCGATTGCATTTCATCTTCTAAAGCCAGGATATGGGTGCCCACCTAGTAATTTAAACTAATAACTGATAAAGGAGAGAATGGTGGCATGACTCCTGTTATCTCTCTAGGAATTAACTGTTTCCCAGGAAAATATCAACAAACTAAACTTGCATAGCCCCTGCCACCTCCTGTTAAGGCCAGCAGACTTACGGGTAGGGCAAGTGAGGTACCAACAAAACTGCACTAATGTTGTTGATGGATGTTGGCCTTGGGTACCTTCATTGGCTATATCTAGTTTTTGCATAGAAACAAATAGGTAGGTAGTCTACCTTTTTAGTCTTTTTGTTACAGAAAGCCACTACTCTTTCATAACCATTAGAATCAGGATCCAAAGTAAAGGAGTTGCACCCATTTCCACTCAATGTATTAATTGGCATTCTAACATCCTCTGTTTCCCTATAGTCTTTTGCAAAGGCGAGGAAAGCCTTTTATAATGCAGCTTCCAGAGACCATGGTTTTGGTATCAAATAGCAAATATTGACCACTTGGAGTTTGACACTATAAATTGCAATAGTAAGATATTACTTTTACTACTACATTAACGGCATTATGCTATATGTTGGCTGTGATCTAAAATTGTTTGTATTTTATTGAGAGAGAAAATATATAATTATATGATCATATAGCCACATAGCAATCTGATGGGTAATTAATTTAAATCAATGACTGAAACAGCCACACAGGAGATATACTGATAGTATTTGATTGTCTAATGAATGGCACATTGACTAAAAAGATGAGCTACCCCAAGGTTAATAACAATTTCATGTTGGTGAAGCCATAGAGTTAAGATGTTGATGACAAAAAAAAAATAAATTTAAAAAAAGATGACAACAGTCCTTTTTCCACATTATTCTGAGTTCCTAACTTCTTCCTCCTGTTTCTCTTAATGAATAACGTGTACACTTTCCATGTCTTTATTACTGTTTCTAGTCTCACAGTGTCTTTCATTAGTTCTAGCTCATCTTAACAGATTTTATAATTTGTATTTTAATAAAACTTTCTGAACTGATAGGTTATTGACTGCCCGAGTGGCAATTTGTAGAGACATCTTCCAGTTGTTGTGTGGATACCACAATCACTCGGCCATCCAAAGGTGCACTTGGTTGAATCATCTGCCTTGTTCAGTCTGTTAGTCATGGTGACTAGAGATCCCTGGTTCACACAAAAAAGTGAGAGTATTAAGGATATCCCTTTTCATTGCTGCTTTTTTAAACCATGTAATTCCTAAAGTTAAAAAACTCCATTTTGGGTGTTGTTAGAATCCTTGAGTGATATATAGCCATTAACACATTAATTCTGATCTTATTCTAAACTGAAGAAAAGAGAACAGTCTTGAGTCTATTGTCAGCATAAGGGAGGCATTCTCATTTGAGATTCTTTTCTGAAGCATCAGATTCTGGTGTTCTCAGTTCTGTGCTTGAGTGTACTTTGTTCAGCAAACTATGATGTTTATGTGAGCTGTGGTTGGGGCAGATGGAGATGTGGTAGAGACTTGACTCACAGTGGTTATTCCATTCAGTTCATTATATGTTGAACATACAGTGGACACTGCCAGTGGGGGAGGTGAGGGTTGGCAAAAAATGAACCTCTTTGCCATTGTCAGAAGTAAACAGACAGCAGCAACTTCTCTAAAATTAAAGGTCCATTTACGTTGAAAGCTGGTTAAAGACAAAGTATACTTTTAGGAGCATTTGATTTTGCATATGCTTTGGTTTTAAAATTAATTTTATAATTTATATCAAAAATACTGCTGAGTTATTCTATTGCTAGGTTTAAGAAAGGAGTGACTAGCTATAGGCGACTGTTGAAATGATACTGGATAGTGTAACTACATTCAAATGTAGGATTGTGTTTTGTTGTGGTAACTCTGAAGTGTGAGAAGACGGAGATTTGCAGGAGGTCTAGAATGGAGACCCAGAATGTGAGTGCTAATGAGTAGTCATATACAGATTTTTGTATAGATTGCCCAAAGGCTGAGATGATTAAGGAAAAACCAAAGTGATGCCAGGGATACTGGGAACCAGATAAAACATAAAACTAAATAGCTAACACTTTATGCTATTAAACTGCTCGCCTGGATTAAAATGAGCTTGCTTCTTAAAACAGTGAGTCTGAGTCTGATGTCCAATTTCAGAAGTACATGTCTCTTGCTTTGTTGCTGAGGGGGATAGATGGGCAAGAGTAGCACCTTCAAAAGTAGAAACAAGATAACTTGTGTCATGGTAGACCAGCCTTGGATATGATGTAAGACTCTCGATAACTTAGAGTAGCATAAGGAAAAAAACTGTTTTGGTTTCTAGAGAAATTCAGAAGCAAAATGACAATGTTAATTCTGTCAGCTTTGTAAGTTTTAGGTTTCTTGTATAGCTGTTGT